AAAATAAAATAAATGAATAATAAAATAAAATAAATTAATAAAATAAAATAAATGTTAAAATATATATTTTTTAATAAAAATTTTTTTTTTTAAATGTATTTAATAAACATTTATACTTTTATTCAGCAAAGGCTGACCAAAAGTAAAGTAATGTTGCTAATGATTTCTATTTCAAATAAATGCTGTTCTTTTGTACTTTCTATTCATCAAAGTAACCTGAAAAATATTTGTAACAATAGCCAACAATACACTGTATGGGTCAAAATTACTGATTTTTCTTTTATGCCAAAAATCATTAGGATATTAAGTAAAGATCATGTTCCATGAAGATATTTTGTAAATTTCCTACCGTAAATATATCAGAACTTAATTTTTGATTAGTAATATGTTTTGCTAAGAACTTCATTTGGACAACTTTAAAGATGATTTTCTCAATATTTAGATTTTTTTGCACCCTCAGATTCCAGATTTTCAAATAGTTGTATCTCAGACAAATATTGTCCTATCCTAACAAACCATACATCAATGGAAAGCTTATTTATTCAGCATTCAGATGCTGTGTAAATCTCAATTTAAAAAAATTGACTGGTTTTGTGGTCCAGGGTCACATATTTGTAGTTAAAGGCCATAATTATCATTTTTTTGTTGAGCCGAAACATGTTTGAAAGAGCGTCAAATGTTTTGTTAATATTAATAGAGTGATACTATCAGAATTTACTGACATTTTTTAAAATGATAAGCACATGAATATAGCTGTAACATACTGTGACAGCGTTTCCTGTGAATGACCCAGAAAAACAGACAGATCCAGATGATTCAGTACCTGCTGCTCTCTGGAAAGCATCGATAGCGTTCTGAATGCCAGTCAGTGTCGAGCGATCTTGTCTGGCTCCGATTTGAGTATAAAGTGCTCCGATGTTGAACAAAACACTCCCTTTCTCGAACGCCAGCGCTCTCTGGACTGAAGGCACGCCGGTCAGTGAGTCGTACCTGTGATGAGAGACGTGATCAGAAGCTCTGTCTATATATCGCACAACAAAAAGTTGTTATCGTGACAGGCCTATCTCTGACCTCTGATCATTCATGTGTTTGTGTGCAGCCGTGTGTCTCACCAGTGAAAGTGAATTCCCAGACTTCTGTGCGGTGAAAAGAAGCGCTGATCCAGGAAATAGAGCTGGTTATAATATTCCTTCAGCAGCTCCTGTCCCGCCTCGTTCCTGCTGGGAGTTCGCATGGCCTACAGAGACAGGTGAGGACTGAAGAAATCATTTTCAGCTCAAAAATAACGGTTTGACTTGTGTTTCTCATAACACAGCCCTGCATCTTGACTAACAATTCTGCTGATTTGCAAAAAAGGCCTAATATTATCTAATTTGGTGACGCTGAGTTCAAAAATATAAATAAAACTTTTCCATTTTTCCACAAAATAAGAAAGAACATTCTTCAAATAATATACACTACCGGTCAAAAGTTTGGGATCAGAGCGATTTTTAATGTTTTTTTACAGGAGTCTCTTCTGCTCATCAAGGCTGCATTTATTTGATCAAAAATACAGTAAAAATGTAATATTGTGAAATATTATTATGATGTAAAATAAAATTTTTCTATTTTAATATCCTTTAAAATATAATTTATTTCTGTGATGCGCAGCTGTATTTTCAGCATCATTACTCCAGTCTTCAGTGTCACATGATCTTCAGAAATCAGTATAATATGCTGATTTATTATCAGTGTTGAAACTGTTGCTGCTTCATATTTTTTTGGAACCTGTGATACTTTTTTTCAGGATTCTTTGATGAATAAAAAGTTAAAAAGAAGAGCATTTATTTCAAATAGAAATCTTTTCTAACAATATACTCTACCGTTCAAAAGTTTGGGGTCGGTAAATTTTTATTCTTTATTTTTTTTAAGAAATTCAAACTTTTATTCAGCAAGCATGTGTTAAATTGTTTAGAAGTGATAGCAAAGATTTATATTGTTAGAAAAGATTTCTATTTTGAATAAATGCTGTTCTCTTTAACTTTTTATTCATCAAAGAATCCTGAAAAAAAAGTATCGCAGTTTCCAAAAAAACATTTGTCAGCACAGCTGTTGATAATTCTAATAATAAATCAGCATATTAGAATGATTTCTGAAGATCATGTGACACTTTATACTGGAGTAATGATGATGGAAATTCAGCTTTGCATCACAGAAATAAATTATATTTTAAAGGATATTAAAATAGAAACCATTATTTTATATTGTAATAACACTTTGCAAGATTACTGTTTTTTTCTGTATTTTTTATCAAATAAATGCAGCCTTGATGAGCAGAAGAGACTTCTTTAAAAAACATTACAAGTCTTACTGATCCCACACTTTTGACCGCTAGTGTATATACTGCATGTATCACTTTTAATGCACTTATCAAAATAGCAAAAGCAGTCAAAGGTCAAAAATTTTAAAGACAAAAAGATATATTTAAAATGTATCATTTAACTTGAAATCTGCAAAGGAATGGAATTCATGCATAATGTCTTCAGAATCATTCATACATATGAAAATAGGCTGAGAATTAAACGAATAGCTAGTTGTAATCTGGCTCAGATTCAGACTGATTAAGGGATAATACAAGACTTCTTCACCTTACACATGGTTGTCAAAAGCAAAAATGCTATGAAATGCATATTATCTTTTGAGAAGGTGAGCAAAACAGTAAAACATTTTGGAATCAGCACCCAAAATTAGTAAGAAACAAGTATTGGATTTCATTCAGCAAATATGATGTAGGGCAGTGTAGTCACTTATTTGTTTTTTAGAATGAGATGAAATTAAAATTTACTGTAGTTACTTTCTTAAAGATACACTATGTAAGTATCGGCCCTCTAGCAGTAAATGTAAACTAGCACTGATGATTCCCTCATGATTGTCAGTTTGAACGATCGATAGTTGATTTTTCTTGTTTGTTGTAACAACAGCTTCAAGCTACTTGCAGTCAGAGCTACTTTAGCCAAATGCACTTTGATAAACCTACATAAAAGAGTGAGGACATGGTTTGGAAAATGGATGTGTAGCTTTAATACATGTTTCTGGTCTTATTTTTAATTATTCTTTAGTGCATGTTTAAGAAGTCATTTGTGTTGCGATCAGCATTGCATGTTGACTTGAACTGACCTGTCTTAGTTCCATAAAATCCCGGATCTCATTCAGGTACAGAGATGCATCCTCACTGTAATGTTCACTGATGAAATCCTGATGAGACGGCAGAGAAAAAATGTTTCTAGACAGATTTAAACACTGAATGAGTTGACATGCATTCTGCGTTGATCTCACCTGAAGAGGGACTGTCATGTCAATCTCTTTAGTCTCTTTCAACCCCAGTGGAATCATGGGAACACTGACTGTCTCACTGCGACAAAAAGATGATCCGTTTGTGAATGTTTGAATTATATATTTTACATACTGCACGTAAAGAAATAAACTACACAATCCATGTTCTGCACACTTAAAACTTGATGACTGTTGATTATTCTAGAATTGCATAATCCAAGATGTAGATGAGTTTGTTTCTTCATCAGATTTGGAGAAATGTAGCATTGCATCAGTGTCTCAGCAATTGATGCTCTGCAGTGAATGGGTGCCGTCAGAATGAGAGTTCAAACAGCTGATAAAAACATCACAATAATCCACAAGTAATCCACACCACTCCAGTCCATCAGTTAATGTCTTTCTTCGAAAAGCTTCGTGTTTGAACAACAACAAATCCATCAAGGCATTTTAACTTGTGGATTATTGTGATGTGTTTATCAGCTGTTTGGACTCTCATTCTGACGGCACCCATTCACTGCAGAGGATCGATTGGTGAGCAAGTGATGCAATGCTACATTTCTCCAAATCTGAGGAACAAACAAACTCATCCTAATCTTGGCTGACCTGAGGGTGAGGAAATGTTCAACAAATTAAAATTTTTGGTTCAACTATTTCTTTAAACAAAACTACAAATGTGTTTTGCATGCTTCAAACCTGTTGTACTGATTTGAGAAATGCTAATCTAATGGCACTTTTCCACTGCGTGGTACGACTCGGCTCGGCACGGCTCAGTACGGCACGGCTCGGTTTGCGTTTCCACTGCAGTTTAGTATCGCTTTAGAGTGGGCGGGATTATTCACATGTTGCTGCCTATACTCGCGACTCCTGAAAAACTTTTTAATTCCGCGTCGCCCCATCAAGCTCTTGCTGGATCCGCTCCTCTGCTATCAACGAGAGGAATGACTGTACTTCCACAACAGAACACGAAACAACCACTTTTTGGTTGTTAAAAAAAGGTGCGCTCGTTCAAAACAGTTGCGTTTGATCTCTTGCTGGCTGTGCTGATTTAAATGAATGAATGAATGAATGATGCATTTTTATATAGTGCTTTATTGTGTATTGTTGTACACCCAAAGCGCCTTACAATCATGTGGGGGGGTCTCTCCTCAACCACCACCAGTGTGCAGCATCCACTTGGATGATGCGATGGCAGCCACAGGACAATGGCGCCAGTGCGCTCACCACACACCCAGCTACGGGTGGAGAGGAGAGAGAGTCATAGAGCCAATCAAGTGGATGGGGATTATTAGGAGGCCATGATTGACAAAGGCCAGGGGGGGCAGTTTTGGCCAGGACACCGGGGTTACACCCCTACTCTTTACGAGAAGTGCCATGGGATTTTTAATAACCACAGAGAGTCAGGACCTCGGTTTAACGTCACATCCGAAAGAAATCTAGCAGTTCTGTTGTGTTTGTGTTGCAAGTTCAGTGACGCAGGTAGTGACGATTCTCTCCGGCCAATCCGTGATCAGCAGAGTTTACACGTCACGTTTTGGTAACGGTACGGTTCACTTGGAACCTCAACCGAGGTGGTACTAAAAAAAGTACAAGGTACCAGGTACTGTACCCAGTGGAAAACCCCCCAAAAGTGAACCGTACCGAGCCGTACCGTGCCGTACCATGCAGTGGAAAAGTGCCATAAAATAAAGAATTTCATTCATCTAACATGATTTCATTACTTGTTTCAGGATAAACCTGTGATGATTTTTTTTTATCTGCACTTCAAGCAAGTTTACCCAGTTCTTATCAAAGTGTGATACCAAACTTCTCAAAGCTGCTTGCTGGAAGGCTGACTACTGCAGCAGGTATTTCAAGTTCACTGCCAAGTTATCCAGAAACTTATCAGGTAACCAAGTAAACAACGTTTGAATACAGAGAGTTAGGTGCAGATCCAGAAAGTGCAAGTGTAACCAACCTCTCAGTCTGGTAGACGTTCATACTGCTGTTCAGTTCCTCTAGTTCTTCTTTGAGAAGCTGAAGATTCGAGTTCACAAAACTCAGTTCTAATGCAACAGTCTCCTTCACCTTCTGATTACCGCTGGCCCTGGAAAAAAAAAAACACGATCCACATGTCACTTTAACATTATGTATTGTGCAAAAGTATAAATACAGTATGTCAACTGGTAGCTGTTATGCTACACCATTTATATTGCAGTATATCTGGTGAAACGTTTGCAATTTATCATGCAACTCATACTGTAATGGAAGATTTTGGTCATACCACCCACCGCTAAATAAACACACATCACAACACAGAACACAACATCAACAGAGAGGCGTGTCGCGGGTCACTTCCTGTTAGTTCTGGGTCAGGCAGGGTGTTGGGCATAGTGTGTGTTATTATGAAAAACATGCACCTCAGTATTAGCAGATATAGTGATACCTGTAAAGGTTTTCAGCTCCGCTCCGCAGACGAAGCTCTCGGTTGATCTGCTGGTTGAGTTTAGCTCTCCGCTGCTGCAGTTTGCTGCGCTGGGTTGAGACGAGAGGGTCACATCCCTAAAACACACACACCGGTCATGTCTCATCACCTGAAATTTGCATATTTTGAATTTAATCTCACTGCCTCTCTCAGCATTTGAATATAACCATTGCACTTCTGTTCTGTTCTCTATGCTTCATACTTATCAATATATATATATATATAAATACAAAAATAATAAAACATTTAATGTGTGTATATACACACAAAACAAATAAAATACATGTATATAATCTACATAAAATACAAAATAATAAATTATATATATATTTTTTTTTTTATGGCAACACTTTACAATAAGGTCTCGTTTGTTGACATTGGTTAGTCCATTAACTAACATGAACATATACAACATATTTTACAGCATTTATGAACCTTTATGTTAGTTAATAAAAATGTTCAGTCCATTATCTAATGTTAGCAGATAAGTTCGATTTTGGTAATGTGCTAGTAAATGTTGAACTTACCATTAATAAATAAATAAATTCTGTGCAAGTATTGTTTATGTTAACTAATGTTTATTGTAAAGTGCTACTATTTTTACTTAATTTCATTGCAAGGACTTCAAAGAATGTCATCTAAAGACATGCTATTACCATGTTATTATTTTAATACTTAACAATACCATGTAAATACCATAGTTTGTGAATATATTGAATCCGTTACTATGGTACAATAGGTAATACCATGGTACTTTTGGGTAAGTGCCTCAACCTGTTATTTCTTATTGCGTTGCTGGTTTTAATGCTAAGCAATAAGTAATAAATTAACATATTATGACATATTAAGTAATGTTCATGGAGCCAGAACTCTGAAAGTCCACCTAACGTTACCTTGCGGACTGACTCTGTCGACCCTCCGTCCTCAGCCGTTATATCCTCATCTGATCCAGAGTCACACATCATAAACTCACCTTTATTACTGTACTTTTCTGTCCTACACACCTGTAATAACACCTGCACTCACAATAGCGCTCGCATGTTATCAAACTGCGCAAACGTAACCGTAAATCCGTTAAACGCTGCTATCCGAACACGAACTAACGGTTATTTTACACTTATTTAATACTCGCGGGACACGGGTTTAACTATATATGTGTCTAAACGCATTTATTTCTCTCCATAATGTGATCTTTAAATAATCTAATTCACTCAAAATCAGTAAATCCACTTGTTGCCTGTACGCGCACGAGCCACAGCTGATCTCTCGCATTGCGTCCTTGGGATTCAGCCAATAGAATCGCGTTGTTTCTGACTGACACATGCGGTAGCCAATCACAGCTCGAGAAAAACAACGGACTGACGGGGGAACCGTCCAATGAGGTGACGGTGATGGGAATAAAGGCGAATTGGAGCGGAAAAATAACTGTTGCCCCTGACAACACGGAGGCATCAGCGAGTAAACAATAAAGACAGCGATTGTGTTTATCTGAACATTCATTGAATTGTTTTTAAAATCTTTCAAAGCACCCGTAGTTACACATTCACCCGTTTAAAAACCCGAACTCGATATAAAACTTTAAATATTCACACATTACGATATGATCGTTTTTTTTGTAGCTAACTAAATCTAAAAACCATAAATACCATTTGTCACTAGAAGTAAAATAAGATTTATTTATTTTTTACATTTTATTTTATTTCAGTTACATAACTATACATAGGCCTAACTATATAGACATTTAAAATACTAAAACCCACAACAAAATTAAAATAAATTTTTTTTAATAATAACACTCATATGAACAACAAACATAGCCTGTTACCTTTTTTAATTAAATTAGATTTACTATGCAAATTGATATACTAAAAATTTACTATTTATTTACTTATTTATTTACTAAAATACTAAGCATACTATTATTTACTAAAACGAAGCATACTAGATTTTTTTTATTTCCTTTTACTAATTGTTTTATTTTTATATTTTAAATATTAAAAAAATACTTTTATTTTCTTTTACTAATTGTTTTATTTTTATATTTTAAATATAAAAAAAAAATACTTTAAGGTAGATCACATTACAATTAGGATTATAGGACAAAACACATTCATGAATCACTTTTGTACATAAAAGTTTTATGATGTTGTAAAACAAACAGTAAATAATCATTTTCATTACGTCATCACTTATTTTATTAGTTAATCATAAGATGAACCAATGCCATATTCAAAATAACTTGTTAATGCTATTGGACCACAACAAGCAGCATTGCTGAATTTGTTATTAGGACATTTTTTTAAAGGGAAAAGGGGATTTTAATGCATCTTTTCCTTTAGATGTAATGCTTCTGACTTTGGTCTGTGCTCCGTGTTTCGGCTCGGCTTCAGTTCAACAGCAGGAAGTTGCTGCCTTTACTGTTTCCTTTTGTGATATCAGACACCAGGGAGTGCAGCCGCTCTGATAAAGCCACCTTTAAGACAATGTTAAGAAACACACTTTCAGTCTGCAGATGTCATGTATTCCAGTTACTGATATCATGAACTCACGGTGTAATCGTGCGGCTCTTGTAGTCTCTTGTGATGCGGATGCAGCGTTTGCAGAGAAATCTGTGCATGCTCTCGACTCTCTGACGCACTGTTTAGGGGGAATGTGATCTGTGCACGCAATCAACACAAATCTCAATTAGATTCTGTACGAAAAGGCAATGAAATATAAATTTTTCTGTTCAATTTAAAGAAATAGTTCACCCAAAATTGAAAATTTGATTAATATTTACTCATCCTCAGATCATCCAAGATTAGGATGAGTTTGTTTCTTCATCAGGTTTGGAGAAATGCAGCATTGCATCAGTGTCTCAGCAATGGATGCTCTGCAGTGAATGGGTGCCGTCAGAATGAGAGTCCAAACAGCTGATAAAAACATCACAAGTAATCCACACCACTCCAGTCCATCAGTTAACGTCTTTATTATGGACTCATATTTTATGGACTCATATTTTAGCCAAAAGCAACGGTTTAATGTTAAAATGTCTTAATGATGGATTTCTTTCAGCTTTTGTCTTCTCCAGATGTTAACTGATGGACTGGAGTGCTGTGGATTATTGTGATGTTTTTATCAGCTGTTTGGACTCTCATTCTGACGGCACCCATTCACTGCAGAGCATCCATTGCTGAGACACTGATGCAATGCTACATTTCTCCAAATCTGATGAAGAAACAAACTCATCTACATCTCGGATGGCCTGCAGAGTGAGGACATTTCCTTACATTTCATTACTTGTCCAATGGCTGATATTGGCAGTGTTTACCTGTCCACAGGTGAAGACATCCAAACGCAGACTGGTTACTTGAGCCGGTGTGACCGTCTGAAGCGTCTCGTTCAGTCTTAGAGGGAAGCAGGTCAGGGAGACGCCCGCTTTAGGAGCTGCTTCTTCTGACAGACAGATCAGATCCATCTGCGGATGACCTGCCAAACAGACGTTCATATGAACTCAGTTCAGCTCATGGTGCTGCCAAACGTGGATCCTGTGAAAGGTGCACTAAGCTCTATTTTTTCACACTTAAAAGTCTAACGAAATGCATAATAGTTTTAGCATGTCTAAAATAGGGCTGAGGAATATAGCTGAAAAAATACTGTTTACTATAGATGTCAATGCCTTTAATGTGACTTTTTATAATTATATTCATTTCCATACTTTTAAAATTTCCTCATATCCCCTGATGCTTCCCCATTACTTTGGCTAGATAAGAAAAATAAGCTTTTTTGCAATATTTTATAATATTCTATCTATCTATCTATCTATCTATCATCTAGAAATAGTCTATATTGTCTTGAAATATTGATATATTTCTGCCTTTTTCGCAATACTCGCGCTCTGTGTTTGTGTGTTTATATATAAAATTAAAGTAATATTTTAAGACAATATAACTAGAAAATGAGATGGATAAATATTGATCTTTTTCAGCCTTTTTATAATACATACAATATTGTAGAATATTGTAAAAAGGCTGAACAAATCTATAAATATACAGTATATATATATATACTTTTTATATATATATATATATAAAGTATATATATTTATGTAAATATTTATATATTTAATCTGAAATGCTTTTTTAAGAAACAAAATAAAATGCACATTGAAATCATCACAATATTCACACTGTTGGTTAATTTTATGTAGCATTATCACAAAAAATATTGTGAATATTTGCTATAAGGTTGAATTTTTATTACAAATAATGAGAAAAGCAGAAAGAAATGAATAAAAGGGTTATAAACAGGTAAATACGGACCATCTGTGTCCAGAAGCCTATAGACAGACTTGCGTCCCGGCAGTGTGCTTTTCTCTGGATCTTCACTCATCTTCATTCGGGGACGACCTCTGACCTCTATCAGCTACAGTGAGTGAGTAATACAACCATCAGCATGCATTAATTAAAGCACTATGTGTGAATTTTAATGCTGGGAAACCTTATATACCTTATATACACACCCCAGAGAGGGCTGACGTGTGCATGTGACCAGATGAGTCCCCACTCCAACCACGTCAATCTCATTATCCTGACACAGACAAACAGGTGATGCACGTCTTGATTGCTGTGTTTAATGTATCTGATGTGAAGAGCTCTTACTTTCTTGTTGAGTTCAGCGAGACTCTGTTCTGAAATACTGTTTGTGCCGACGATGATGAGAGACTCAAACTGAGGAACTGAGAACCTGCAGACAAACACAGAATAAAATAGATTTGAGTGATCGCATGCTGAAGTTGAACACTTTTACACTATTTTAGTATGATTTTAGTATTGATATAATATTATAGGTCTGATTTAAAATAGGTTTTATTTTCATATTTTCTATTTTCATTTTCATTTTAGTTTGAGTTTTTGTAATTTTGTTTTTTTAAAGTATGTCTGTATTGTTTTTATTAAGTTTTAATTTATAGCTTTATTTAATTTACTTTTAGTAATTTTAGTGTTTCAACAAACTAAATGAGAACTACAAAAGTTGCCTTTGCAACTAGCTGAAAAAAGTATTTATATATAGCTGAAAGTTTATGTAATAAAAATGTTTCTATGGTTTTCATTTTAGTTAACGATAATAACCCTGGAAAAACTGAAACTAAACCTATTAAATATAATTTTCTGTTATTGAAATGAAGCTGAAATGAAATAAAATATAAGGATTAGATGAAAAACATAAACCTAAATGAAATGTTGCCTTGGCAACTAACAGAAATAAGTTTTGAGGCTAAATAGAAATATTAAACAAAGCTAATAAAAACAACAAAATTACTTCAACTTACTTCAACACCAAAATTAAACTAAAAAATATAAAAATAAATATTAAATAATAATAAAAGTACACATTCTGTTGTATTTTTATTTTTATAATTGTTTTTCCTTTTTAATAAAGTATAAAATTAAAAGTATAAGAATACATTTCTATTTTAAGTTAATTTTTTTAAATCGCACAGATCAGTGCAACATCCTCTTTTTCACTTTTTACTTAAACCCAAATTAAAATGAAATATATATATATATATATATATATATATATGTATATATATATATAAATATATATATATATATATATATATCAGGGGTTGGCATAAATGCCCGTGTAATAATGTTGTGTTATTAGAGGTAGTAGTCTGAAGGAAGTGTCTCACTGTTTGCTACATTCTTTGAAGACGCGCCGCACTTCCAGCGACTGCCTGCAGAGGTCCCCGCTGTCCAGCCTGACGCCCAGCGGCCGGTACTGCAGCTCATACAGAGCCAGAGCCACGGCACAGAAACACAGCAGACCGCTGCTGCAGCACAAACATCAGTCAAAAACATCACAGCACACCACATTACTGAATGATCACGTGTCTTACCAGCTGACGCTGTAGCTGTCAATCACAGGCAGGAAGTTTTGTGGGTAGGCGATGGCGTAGGGCAGGCAGG